GCAGGCATGATAGCTCATGCCTCTAATCCCAGTGATTCATGAGGCTGAGGCAGGAGGATTGCAAGTTCGAAACCAACCTCAGCAACTTAGTGAGGCCCTAAGCAACTTAGACCCTTTCTCAAGATTTTTAAAAAGGGGTTGGGGCTGGGAATAGTCCAGTGGTAATATGCCAGTGGGTTCTATCTCAGCACCAAAAAAAAAAACCAAAATAATAATGGAAAACTAGATATATTTCAAACAAAGGTAAGGAGTTTGTTATGAGCACACCTGCAACAAAGAAAATACTAAAAGCAGAGAAAATTATGAGATGAAAACTCATACTTACAGAGATAGAGGGGAAGAAACAAAAAATATCTGAGTAAATCTAAGTGATCATTAACTCTATATAATAAAAGTAATAACAATATCTGTGGGTAAAAAGTATACATAGCATTAAAACAAATGATAACAATAATACCTAAGGTAAAATGGAGTAAAATATAATCAAACTGTTCTAAGTTGATTTTTTCCCTGGAATTGGCAAACATATTAACTTAGATGATAATAATTCAAGAGTAGAAACTTAACACTGTATGGAAAATATTAAAGAACAGTGAAAAAATGCAGAGAAAGCTAGCAGAGGAGAAAACAGAATAATAAAAAAATAATCAATCCAAAAGAACAAAAGAAGAAAAAGAAAGGGACCTCAAAAAAGATAAGACAAACAGAAAAATAATAAGATGGTAGATTTAAATAAAATACATCAGCAATTATATTGAATGTAAACAAATCAAATGACCTCATCTACAAGGCAAGAATTTTCATAATAAATTAACAAAACAAATTCCAATTATATATTACTTATAAGACATGTACCTTAAACAAATGGATACAGAAAAGTTGAAAGTATGCATTATAACATCAACTAAAAGAGAGCTGAAATACCCACAGAAAATATATCTTAACATCACATCTCCCTTTACATTAGCATTGTGTGTTCAGTCCTTACTCTAGAATGTAAATGCATGGAAAAATGAAACTGAATCTTCACTTTCATATCCCATGGTTCCTGCAAGCCTACAAGTACTCAGGATATGTTGGCTCTACAAACTTGTTATTTAGTGTTCTCATTTTGTTAGTGAGAAAAGAAGTATGTAAATACAGAGAAAACTTAAAGAAGCACTTACCTTTTTGACATATGGCATGTACTTTTTATCCAGATAATATGAACCATATTCATTCTCAACTTGCATAGCAATGATGGGGCCTCCCCAGTTATACTAAAGGTCAAGAAAATGAGAATTTGAGAGTGATTCTAATGGTTGATAAAAGACTATATTTTTTGAGTTTACAGAGCACATGCATAGAAATAACTATGTAACTATCCTATTAGCAAATAATATTCTTCCTGCTTCAGAGTGCATAGAAAGTGGTAAGCCCTCAAGAAATCAACACAGGTGATTACTTTCCATAGTTGCATAAATGGGTGATTGGGTTTTACCTGCAATGGCAACAGCCTGGAAATCAGATGATCAAAATATAAATTCACTGCTTTAATGAAGCCCTTGTAAGTTGTCCGCAGCTTCATTTTTGGATCCTTGAGTAACCAGCTAAGATCAAAAAAGGGAGACTCAGACTTGGAATGGGAGACAAAAATAAGAAATGTTCAAGTGTAGAAGGTTGAAAATACAGACAGTCTACATTTGCAAATACACAATTGTACTTGTGAAGGCTAAATCCAGCTTCAAGAAAGAGCAATGGGTACCAGCTACAAACAGCTGATAAAGGTTATCCAGAGTCTTTCCTCAAAATGCAAGGGTGAGGTATGTAACAATGATCTAGAGCAGAGCTCACCCAACTACAAAGGCCAAATCAGACATGTTGTTTCTGTAAATAAAGTTTTATTGGCAGAACGTCACAGACAATAATTTATATATTGCCACAGGAACTTTTGTGCTACGTCAGCAGAATTGAATGGTTGCAACAGAGACTGCATATGGCCCATAAAGTCTAAAATATTTACAATCTGGAAGAGTTTGCCAAATTCTAGTCTAGAATGAGATTTTTTATAAAGCTATTTTGAAACTGGTAGCAGGGGAACCTCTTTACTGGAAATTACCAGACTATAAAAAGGCATGAAGTACTGACACATGCTACAAGGTGAATAAACCTTGAAAACATTATGTGAAGTGAAAAAAAGACACAAAGGCCACATATTGTCTAATTCCAATTACATGAAATATCCAGAATGGGCAAATCTGTAGAGTCAAAGGGTAGAATATTGGTTGCCATTGTAACTGAAGAGGGAAAAAATGGGGAGGGATTGAGGTACAGGGTTTTCTTTTGGAGGGATAAAACGTTCTGGAACTAGATAATGGTAGTGATGTTCAACATTTTGAATGTAGTTGATATCATGGAAATGAATCCTTTTAAGTGGTTAAAATGGAAGATTTCTTATTATGTATATTTTACTACAATAAAAAAGACCTGAAACAAAACAATAACAATAAAACTCCTCTTTAAAAAGGGATATTGGCCTTGATATTTGTATTGCTACCACAAACCCTAGAACTCATGAAGATATTGCTTAAGGGTAGCCATTAGTTTATTTTAAGAATAAATATGAACTCTACCCCATCTGCATTGTAGAGATAGATGTTTATTTTAAAATACTATATAGTCCCAAATACTTTATGGTTCATTCACTATGGACAAAATAGTGAAGATAAAAAAAAAGTACATAGAAAACAAAGCAAAACACTTTGCTCTAAGTTCCATTTGAATATGCTTATGGGGCATGTGCAGTCACCCTTAGATCACAACTTACCTGGGCAAGCCTCCAAGATCTAAGTCACTACCAATGTAGGGTCCTGGACACAGAATGACCCAGAGTCCCACCTCTGAAGCTGTGGTTATAAAAGCCCTAGGAAACAAATCAATAACAATAACTTCACATTGAATGCTGAGATCAGTAAACCTGTTGTTTCTTTCTCTTTGCATTCTTCTGAGGTTGGAATGAATGAAACTTCCAGCCTGGCCCACAAAAGTCCTTACAGAAGACATTCTGGAGGAGATCAACACTCAGTTAGAAATAGGCTCTGTCAAGGCACTGGAGAGAAGAGTATTAAAGTGAAAGCCCAGAAATCCTAAACAACTACAGTATTCCCAAGCAAATCCACTAACTGCCTTGCACTTTGAATGGCACCACCATCCAGGAAACGACTTAGGGCAGAAACTTACAAATCATGTTTTCACCTCATTCTTCCTCACCTCCTACTGTGTCAGGAACAAAAATCATGTTTATCCTTCCTCTATATCCTACTGCTATCAGATTGGCTCATTTTGCACCTGGGTTATTAGAATGATTGACTGATTTACTTTCTTGGTTCTTATTATCGTTCAGACATTCTCCAATTACTATCAATACAGTGTCACCATGAACAATAGGACTAATATTTATGTTGTATTGGCATCAGGCACTACTGCTCAATTTATACTATTTTGGATAATGGTATAAGATAGGTATCAGCGTGTTCTCTATTTTTACAGTTAAGGAAATACAGACTTTAGGGCTGGAGACGTGGCTCAAGCGGTAGCGCGCTTGCCTGGCATGCGTGCGGCCCGGGTTCGATCCTCAGCACCACATACAAAGAAAGATGTTGTGTCCGCCGAAAACTAAAAAATAAGTATTAAAATTCTCTTCTCTCTCTCTCTCTCTCTCTCTCTCTCT